CATAGGACTCTATTTCTCAACCTGTCTTAGTGCAATTCTACTATTCCTGCAGTGTGTTCATGTAAGCTAACAACTTCATTCAAGAGAAAGGTCATTTGAGCCCAGCCGGTGTGGCTCAGTGGTTGAGCATCGACCCATGCACCAAGAGGTCACTGGTTCAATTCCTGGTCAGTGCAAATGCCCAGGTTGTGGGCCCGATCCCCAGTGGGGGGCATGCAGGAGGTGGCCAATCGATGTTCTCTCTCATTGATGTTTCTATCTCTCTCTCCCTCTCCCTTCCTCTCTCTCTAAAATCAATAAAGGAAAAAAATTTTTAAAAAGAGAAAGGTCACTTGAGTAGATAAAAAAGGTGTGGTACATATATACAATGGAATATTACCTGGCCATAAAAAAAAAAAAGAATAAAATCTTACCATTTACAACAGAATGGATGGACCTGGAGGATATTATGCTAAGTGAACTATGTCATTCAGAGAAAGGCAAATACCATATGATTTTATTTATATGTGGAATCTAAAGAACAAAATAAACAAAGAAAATTGTAATAGACTCATACACACAGAGAACACACTGGTGGTTGCCAGATGGGAGAAGGGTCAGGGGGAATGGGTTAAAGAGGTGAAGGGATTAAGTAAAAATTGGTAGTTACGAAACAGCCATGGGGATGTGAAGTATGGTCAATAATGTGATAACTATGTATGGTGCTTGGTGGGTACTGGAAATATCTGGGGAGAACACTTATAAAGTATATGATTGCCTAACCTCTATGCTGTACACATGAAACTAATACAAAGTAACTGTAATTGGCCCTGGCAGGTTTGGCTCAGCAGTTGTAGTGTCAGCTCACATTCCGGAAAGACCCAGGTTCGGTCCTGCTAAGGGCACGTACCTCGGTTGCAGTTTGTCCCCGGTCCCAGTTGGGGTTGTGTGGGTGGCAGCCACTCGATGTGTCTCTCTCACATCGAAGTTTCTCTCTCTCTCTTCACTCCCCCCCTTTCCCTCCCACTTTATCTGAAGATACATGCAAAAATGTCCTCGGATGAGGATTAAAAAACAAACAAACAAACAAACAAAAAACAAGAAAATGTAATTGAAAAATAAAAGTAAATAAAGAGAAAAGTCATTTGCAAACATTTATTAAGTGTATTGTATAAGTAAATTAGTCTTTTTCTGTTGCATTTCAAAACAAAGAAAGAATGGGCCTTGGCCAGCGTGGCTCAGTGGTTAGAACTTCGGCCTGCACACTGAAGGTCTCAGGCTCAATTCCCAGTCAAGAGCATGTACCTGGGTTGCAAGTTCAATTAATTCCCTGCCCCAGTCGGGGAGGGTATATGAGGCTACCAATTGATGTGTCTCTCACATGGATGTTTCTCTCTCTCTCCCGCTCCCTCGCTTCCTTTTACTCTCTAAAAAAAAAAAAAAAAAAAAAAAAAAATCAATGGAAAAATATTTGTGATGATTAACAGTCCTCCCCCCCAAAAAAAAACATGCAGAAAGAATGAAATTACCTAAATTCTATGGCTAAATGAGACAAGCCAGTAAGCCAGGACAAGCAGAATGGGGAAACTGAGACAAATAGTTAAACAGCAATTTGTAGCCCAGCTGGTGTGGCTCAGTGGTTGAGCAATGACCCATGCACCAAGAGATCGCTGGTTTGATTCTGGTCAGAGCACATGCCCAGGTTGTGGGCCAAATCCCCAGTGGGGGACATGCAGGAGGTGGCCAATCAATGTTCTCTCTCATCGATGTTTCTATCTCTCTCTCCCTCTCCCTTCCTCTCTCTCTAAAATCAATAAAAAGAAAAACATTTTATGTTAAAAAAAAAAAAAAAACCAGCAGTTTGTAGCCATCTAGAAAATCTAGATGCTGAGCAGTGTGCACCGTCTATTGAATCTTATCTTCCCTAAACCAGGGACACTTGAGAATAAATGGTTTGCATTTCTCCTCCCCAACCAGCTGGTAAATAGCTGAAATCACTCTACTCAGGGAGACAAATAGCAGAAATCCAATGAGTGCCATTTGCCAATCACACCCAAAGATAGATGAAATTAAGAGAATAAACTTCATTTTGGTGCATCAGCATAAAGCTGATGAGTAGTCTACTGAGATGCTCCCCTAGGACCTCCCCTGAACGCCCAGCCTTTAAAACCCCTCAAAATGAGGATCTAGTGCACATTCTCCCTCACTCCTCCCCCGAACCCCTCCCCCACCTTCCCCACAGGCAGCGTCTCCTAGACTCTAAGGGACCCCGCGAGGCTTGCAACCACGGCAGCAATGGGCAGTGGCAGTCCATCCTGGGCAAACCCCCTGAACTTGTGCCCAAAGCTCCCTTCTCTCTGACTTCTTAGTGAGCCAAAGCAGACCAGCCTAGGCTCATTTCCCCAGCCCTTCCTCGTTTCACTGTCCCCAGCTTTAATAATGTCCTCTAAAATCCACCTGGACTCGAGTTGTGAAACTTTTCCTGAAGAAGTCAAGAACCCACACACTACTGGCCTGCCCTAGGCAGACCCGCTTAGGGCCAGGTCCCCTTTCCAGTGACATAAGTAGTTGTGTGACCTTGAATAAGACTTTACCTTGGTCTCACTGTTCTTATCTATAGAACAGAGAGGTTGAACCAGATAATGTCTAGTTCTTAATATAATTTATGATTTAATGTTACAGTTAATATTTAACTTCAAACTTGATCAGTGTGCAAAGATCATCCTAAAGAAGTCAAGAAACCTAGGAATGAATTCCAACTTCACCACGAGGCAGACTGGTAATCACGGAACAGGGAAAACCTCACTTTCCCCATATGTCAAATGGGATGATACCTCCCATGCTCATCTCTCAGGGTGTGTCTCAGACTGAATCAAGACAAATCACGTCAATGTTTTGCAATTCGTTTAGTACTAGAGAAAATACAAGTACAGTTAAAACAGATGTTTGAAACACTATACATTATCCCAGCAAACACCAGGCTGAGTATGTCACTTATCCTTGGGGCATGTGACGTGTTACATTTTTTGCTGTTGTTGTTGTTGTTTTTTGCAATAAAGCATTGTCATTTTATTCAGGATATTTCCAAGGATACATTGTGATATGAGGACCAACGAGATAATATCTTTGCTCTTCAGCTGTGATATTAATGCTTGAAGGAAGAAGCCGTGTTTGCCCTGGCTGAGTGGCTCCATTGGTTGGAGCATCCTCCCATACCCCAAAAGGTTTCAGGTTCAATTCCCGGTCAGGGCATATACCTAGGTTACAGGTTCAATCCCTGGTTGGGGTGCCTATGAGAGACAACTGACAGATGTTTCTCTCACATCAATGTCTCTCTCTCTCCCTTTATCTCTCTCTAAAATCAATAAAATCGCCCTGGCCCGTTTGGCTCAGTGGTGAGAGCATCGACCTGCGGTCCAGAGAGACCCGGGTTCGGTTCCCGATAAGGGCACGTACTTAGGTTGCAGTTTGTCACTGGCCCTGGTTGGGTTGTGCGGGTGGCAGCCACTCGATGTGTCCCTTTCACATCGATGTTTCTCTCTCTCTCTCTCCCTCTCCCTCTCTCTCCCTCCCACTCTATCTGAACAAGAAATGAAAAAATGTCCTCAGGTGAGGATTTAAAAATAATAATAATAAAATAAAATAAATAAAATCATATTCTCGGGTGAGGATTTAAAAAAAAAAAGAAGCTGTGTTTGGCTACGAAGTTCTACAAGAATAATGAATCTCATATTATGACTCTCCCTGTCTGTTGTTAGTAAGAGGGACTGGTGTGTTGGGGGTCAAAGGAGGAGCAGTGTCTATTTTTGGTAGAAATGGTGTCCTAGGTGTTACTTTTCTTGAGTTATAGTAGGTTTTGGTAATGGAATCCTCTCCGTGTGAAAATAGAGACAAACTGTTCAGTCTTGATATCTCCAAAGAGGGCCTATCTTTGAATGTTTATAAGAAAATAATAAGAGCCCAGTTGGTTAGAGTATGCACTGAAAGGTCACAGGTTCAGTTCCCGGTCAAGGGCAGGCACTTGGGTTTTGAGTTTGATCCCCAGCAACCAATTGATGTGTCTCTCTCACATCAATGTTCTCTCTCTCTCTCTCTCTCTCTCCCATCCACTCTCTCTAAAAAGAAATGTAAAAATATCCTTGGGTAAGGATTAACAACAATAACAAAAAATAAAGCGACCTCCCAATAAGCCAAAGTCCCGGTCTGATCCCTGGTCAGGGCACATACAAGAATCAACCAATGGCCCTGGCTGGTTTAGTGCAGCAGTTAGAACTTCAGCCCTGGACTAAAGGGTCACGAGTTTGATTCCCTGTCAAGGGCAAGTACCTGAGGTTTGATCCTAGGCCCAACTGGGGTAGTGCAGGAAACAATCAATTGATATCTCTCTCACATCAATGTTTCTATCTCTTTCTGTCTCTCCCTCCTTTCTACACTATCTAAAAATCAATGAAAAAATATCCTTGGGTGTTGATTAACAACAACAACAACAAAATCAAGGAATGAAAACTTAAATAAATGGAACAACAAATCAATGTTTCTCTCTCTCTAAAAAGAAAAAAAAAGCTTAAAAAATAGAAAATAATGAGATACACACGCAAAAAAAGAAACAAAGAAAGTGGGAAGGAGAGAATTCACAGGCAGAGGAGGAAGAAAGGTGAAGGCAATGTTAGGGAAGTAAAAGGCAAGTCAGAAGAAGAAACAGGGATAGGGAGGGGAAGGGAGAATCAGCAGGGCAGGAACGAGAGCCAGTTAGACTGGGGGAGGGGACGGGTGGCGAGTGAGTGGACAGTCCAGTGACTTGCCAAGCAGGCACCAGGCGGAGGAGGGTGGGGCTTGGGAAAGGGTAAAGGCAGGGCAAGACTTAAAAGGAGATGGCCCTAGGTGGTTGATGCCACCATTGACCTCTGAAGCCCAGGCTAAGGGGGCCCAACGCGGGATAACGAGAGGCAAGGCCAGCGGCTAAGGCCGTCCGCGGGCTTGCGAGGAAGCGCCCAGACGGGAGAGGGGACCCCTGAGAGCGCTCGGCCGCCGCCACCATGTGCGAGCTGTACTGCAAGCAGGACACTCTGGCGTTGAGAAGGAAGCACATCGGGTAAGGGCTCCGCAGACCCGAGGAAAGGCGCAGACGGGGAAATAGTGAGTGCAGGGGTGAGAGCTGAAGCCTGGCAGGGAGCGGGGAGCCAGGAGCGGCGCCCGAGGCTCTGCTGCAGCGGCTGCCAGCAGAGTGCGCCCCCGCCCGCCGCGCCTGCGCCTGCGCCCTCCTGCCGGCGCCTCCCGGCTCCCGGGCTCCTGCTGTGCGGTCCCGGGGTGTGCGGTCCGCTGGAGCCCGGCTGTGCGGTCCGGGGGAGCCGGGCTGTGCGGTCCGCGGGGAGCCCGGCTGTGCGGTTCAGGGAGCCCGGCTGTGCGGTCCGGGGGAGCCCGGCTGTGCGGTCCGGGGGAGCCCGGCTGTGCGGTCCGTGGGGAGCCGGGCAGTGCGGTCCGCGGGGAGCCGGGCTGTGCGGTCCAGGGAGCCCGGCTGTGCGGTCCGCGGGAGCCCGGCTGTGCGGTCCGGGGAGCCCGGCTGTGCGGTCCGCGGGGAGCCCGGCTGTGCGGTCCAGGGAGCCCGGCTGTGCGGTCCGGGGGGAGCCGGGCAGTGCGGTCCGCGGGGAGCCGGGCTGTGCGGTCCAGGGAGCCCGGCTGTGCGGTCCGGGGAGCCCGGCTGTGCGGTCCGGGGAGCCCGGCTGTGCGGTCCGCGGGAGCCGGGCTGTGCGGTCCGCGGGGAGCCCGGCTGTGCGGTCCGCGGGGTGTGCGGTCCGGGGAGCCCGGCTGTGCGGTCCAGGGAGCCCGGCTGTGCGGTCCGGGGAGCCCGGCTGTGCGGTCCGCTGGAGCCCCGCTGTGCGGTCCGCTGGAGCCCCGCTGTGCGGTCCGCTGGAGCCCGGCTGTGCGGTCCGCGGGGAGCCCGGCTGTGCGGTCCAGGGAGCCTGGTTGCTGGCGGGCTGCGGAGTTGCCCGGGGAGGGTTAGGGGCCTGGGTCAGACGAAGGGTACCTCTCGCCACTCGAAAGGTTTTCAAAACTATGAATTCAGAAATATTTTCTGATGATAGTTTGAAAACAAATTCTGACATCTTTTGCTTAAAGTGAACTTTTCCTTGTTGCATGCTTGGTTCAGGGTAAAGGGTTAACCCAGCCAGTAGAAAAACTTTGAAACCATGGTCCTAAGGGCAAGATGCTACTGTACCCACCTTGGGTCTCCCGAGTGGTCCCGACTTCAGTTTAAAAATGCGGCGTTCTCTCCAGTCTTCCTTCGCTTTGCCCTTGTTGTAATGGGCTTGGTGATATACTGGTGAGCGGAGGGACTGAATATTACCACACCTGGGCTCTAGTTCTGGTAGGGTGTCCTGTTACCTTTGTGACCTCTGTCAAATTAATTTCCTCTTCTGTGAAAAGTAGGAGCGAGCAGATGAGACTAGTAAGTGTGATCAGTTTTTTTAGGGTACATATAAAAATGAATGGTTACGGCCATTGGCGACCCCTAGACCCTGTAAAATCAAGGGTCTGCAATATTTACAGTAATTAGCAAGCGCCCAGCGGGCTGGCTGGGAGAGGCCTGGGGGACACAAGCAGGAGAAGAACCAGGGTCCTCCTCGGAGAGGTGCTGGGCAGTTTGTCCTACTGAGGCTCCCGATAAGAACCCCGGGAAATTTCTGAGTGATCTAGGAGGCCGGGTAGGGCTCTCTAAGCCCCGCTCTGTGGTCAAAATAGATTCCTTGTTACCTGATCACTCCTTTCCATTTTTCTAATCAGCACTCCGTTCTGTTAGTTTTCAATCTTATATAGTTAGGTCCTAATGATTTCTGTTGTGAGCAGAACATATTCTGCAAACGGAGAAATGTAGCCATGTCCTGACTGGAAGAATTTTACCGGAAATCTAAGGGGCAAGGTAGAAAGTACATTATAACAAGGGAAGGTGAAGTCCTCAGTTTTCAGCTGACATTCATAACAAAGGTTTTCTTTGGATTTTAACTCACTCGGGTATAAACTAACAGCTGAGTTTGAACCAATAAGAAATTCACATTAAATATTAGTTTTACTTTAGCTGATGATGCTTTCTCTTAGGCAATTTAAAAATTTCAGATGACCTAGTCACAACAATCAAAATACTTTCTAAAGAGTTGCAGGTCAGTTTCATACATAGGTATTTAATTACCCTCTACACTGCCTTTAATGCGTATGGCAAATGTGGTGCACGCTGTCACCAAAATAAAAATAATATATTCGGTTTTAGTTTCTAAATGTCCATAGAGTCAAGATCAGAAACCTGATCTTGTTTCTATGTTGCTAAAAGTTATATTCCAGACATTCATCCATCCAAACAACCAAAAATATGGGTGACTTTATTATGCCCAAAAAAGTGGGTTAAAGGGTTAGAAGAATTTTATTATTTAAGAATGGAAAATCCACTGGATACAGAACAAGCACCACTCAGAGTAATCTCCTTCGTAGCATTAAACTCTAAGTTATTTGTATTTAGCCTTTAGTGCTATGTATTATTTTATATATATGTAAATTAGAGTTCTGTCTCCTTTTTTATGTTTTTATTGATTTGTTTTTAGAGAGAGAGAGAGAAACATTGACATAAAAGAGAAACATCAATCGGCTGCCTCCTGCACACCCACTACTGGGGATGGAGCCTCAAACCCCGGGTATGTACCTTGACCAGGAATCAAATCCAGACCTCTCAGCCATGGGAGGACAGACGCTCAATCCACTGAGCCACACCAGCTGGGCTCCCCTAACTCCACCCCCAAGCCCCACCCGACACAAGAGCTGTCTGCCTACTGTCTCTCAAATGTCTTAATTTTTCTGTGCCCCGGTTTCTTTAACTATAAAAATGAGAATAATGATAATAACTCCTATTTCATATAATTGTTAAGAGAATTAAATGAGATAATATTTGTAAATCTGTCCATTCTGACACATAGTAAGCCTCAAAAAAGTTTTTGGGTTTGTTTTTTTCTTGGTAAAACAAAATTTCCCAAAGGAAAATTAGTGATTGGTCCATGTAATCAGAGCTGTCAGAGAACAAGAATAAGAAATGTGAGCAGGGTCACAAATGGGGTATTAAGATAAAGGCTCCAGGCTGCTAATATGAGTTTTTGTTTTTTAAAGGGTATGCCACCCAGGTTGTGTTTCCCCTTTCCTTTATGTAATTGCAATTTGCCAGTTATCTTGACCTTCACTGAGGAGGAAAAACACCGGGCAGCCGGAGCAGACCAGTGTTTCCTTTCATTATTTCTAGGCCCTCGTGCAAAATTTTCTTTGCTGCGGATCCCCTCAAAATCGTGCGAGCCCAGCAGCAGTACATGTTTGACGAGAAAGGTGAACAGTACCTGGACTGCATCAACAACGTCGCCCATGGTAACCGTCCGGTCTTGCTGTGCCCTGAGGGATACCTTTAGGGAATAAGGCAGACTTGGCACCAATATTTGTCCCAGGAATTGCAGAGGCTGCAGTTCCTCTGCTGAACGGGGCGAGCATTTTTAGCGGAGAAAAGTTGCAGCAAAATGTGGAACCGAAAGAAGCTCCACTTTTGTTTTGTTTACTTGTTTCAGAATCCCCCACACTTGCCAGGTATTTAGTATTGTAACTTATTTCTTTGGCTTTTGTCTCCTATTTCAGTGGGACACTGTCACCCAGAAGTGGTCAAAGCTGCCCTGAAGCAGATGGAACTGCTCAATACAAATTCCCGATTCCTCCACGACAACCTTGTGGAGTACGCCAAGCGCATTTCCGCCACCCTGCCGGAGAAACTCTCTGTTTGTTATTTTACAAACTCAGGGTAAGTTTCTAGGTTCCCCACCTCATTCCCAGCAATCTCTTTGTCTACTCTCTTGTACATACCTTCTCGCTTTGATTCGTGGTGGAGCACAGACATCCAAAGGTTTTCTGCCATTCTTGCCATTTACTATGTGATCATTCACTGGGGACCCGACCAGTCTGGTTCCCGTGCTTTACTCCATGAGCCTGTTGTAGATAAGACACCAGACGGCACGTTCCAAGGCTTTGAACACAGCCTATGGCAACGGTCTGATGATTAACGTGCACGCCACTCAACACTTCATTACCATGGTTTCCTCGGTGAAAGATGGGGAAGGCATCTGTTCAAGTATCCCAAAAGGGTTGATACTTAGGTCACCCACTGCAAAAAATATTCATGTCTGGTGTCCATGCGAGAAAACCTAACTAGTCAAATGGCACTCACCTCTTCTGGCGGTAGAATAAGTAGCTAAAGAACCCAAGAGCTGTCACTTCCGGCCCGGATTGCTTGGGTCTTAGGCTGACGGAGTGGAGCCGGCGGAGCCGGGATGGTTCTGCTGGGAAGTGAGCAGTTCCTGGCGGAGCTGACCAGGCTCTTCCAGAACTGCCGGTTGTCGGGCAATGAGCTCATCACCCTGAAGAAGTGTGATGGTCGAACAAAACCCATTCCAAGGAAAGGTTCAGTGGAGGGCTTCGAGCCCTCAGACAAGTGTCTGTTAAGAGCTACTGATGGGAAAAAGAAGATTAGACAGTGGTGAGCTCCAAAGAAGTGAGTCAGTTCCAGATGGCTTATTCCAACCTATCGAGAGCTAACACAGACGGGCTGAAGAAGAGGGACAAAAAGAGCAAGAGTAAGAAGAGCGAAACAGCACAGTGAAGGGCACCAGGTTCCCTGTTTTTACCAACTAACCACCAAATTGCTATTTTTCTTTTGGTTTTTACTTTTGGCCACAAAGCTAAGTATCTGGTTTCCCTACATTAACTTTTCACGTGGGATTAGGGTCATTTTGGATGGAAGAAGAGTTGTGATGTTTACAGGGTAGTTATATGAAGCCAGTTTATTTTAGGTCTGGCTGATCGGTCTGTGTTGCATAGTTGTATATTCCTAGATTATAGTTTAAAGTCTCTGCAGCCATCTGTGAAGAGCAATGTATCATTAAAACTATTTATCAGCAGCAACAATAACAAAAAAAGAATCCAAGAGTTTAGCCCTGCCCGGTTTGGCTCAGTGGTTGGAGCATCAGCCTGTGGACCAGAAAGTCCCGGTTCGGTTCTCACTAGGGACACGTACCAAAAAAAAAAAAAGAATCCATGAGCTTAAATAGTTCTTTGAAAACATGAATGAAGAAAGAAAGAACTCTACTAAACAAGTTATAGCTTTGTAATATTTTTTAAATCCTCACCCAAGGATATATTTATTGATTATTAGAGAGAGAGGAAGGAAGAGAACATTAATCAGTTGCCTTTCGTGCATGACCTGACCAGAGACCGAACCCACCATCTAGATGTGCCCTGACCCAGAATCGAAACCACAACCTTTCTGGTGTACGGGACGATGCTCCAACCAACTGAACCACCCAGCCAGGGCGTTTGTAAGATTTTTGATTGACTTGTTTTCTTAGGCAACTGAACGTATTTCCACAACACAGACACAAAGGAAGGGAAGAATAAATTGAGGCGAATACATACATTCCAACTTTTAAATTCTGTAAATACAAATTATTATCCATTCTATAGAATATTATGTAGACATTAAAAAGTATGTTTTGAAAATACATGCCTAATGACATGTGAAAAGCTCACACTGCAATGTTATATTGGGAGAAAACCTGCATATTCAGCCTTACCTTATATTTTTAAAATGATATGTATCTGTTAGAATCAGTTTGTAGAAATTCTGTAAATGTCTGATTATATGATCCTGTACTTCACTTTTCTCTTTTCAATGAGTTTTTTTTTTTCTTTATTGAGTTTAGAGAGAGAGAAAGGGAGAGGGAGAGAGAGGTAGAAACATTGATGAGAGAGAACATCAATTGGCCGCCTCCTGCATGCTCCCCATTGGGGATCGGGCCCACAACCTGGGCATGTGCCCTGACTGGTGACCTTTTGGTGCATGGGTCCACACTCGGCCACTGAGCCCCGCCAGCCAGGCAATGAGATGTTTCCAAAGCAAATTTTAACCAGATTATTCTTTTTTCTTTGTAAAGAATTAAGATATTTTGTTATAAAGCATTCTTGCTTTTAATAACTAAATATCACAATTGACTTTTACTGCTAAAGAATCTTATTCTATCAGAGAAGAATGAACCCCAAAGAACACTGTCCTCAAAGAAGGCTGCGCCCAAAGACTGGAGGTGATAGAGCCTGGGAGAGTACAAATAATCTTGAACAGGTCTTGGTCTGAAATCTGACTCTACCTCTTATTAGCTGTGAGAACTTATTCTGGTCACTTACCCTCTCTGAGGCTATTTCCTCATTCATAAAAAGAGATGGCGATACTTGCTTGTTACAATAGTTATGAGAATAAATACAAGCAAAACACTCAGCATGATGTCTAGCAGACAGAAGACATTCCACAAATAATTGTTTTCCCTCTGTGTCTGAGTAGTATAGGCTCTCTGAACCAGATAGAAAAATCAGGATCTTCATCTTATAGATAAGAAACTAATTAAATAGTGGGCCAGTACAATAGAGTTTAGTAGCCAAGTTAATGGGCTCCCACACTCCCATTCCTCCCAGGGAGCTCAAGCTTAAAGCAGGCTTCTTAGTATCCTCAAAGTTAATCAGCTACCTACGTAGCTGAAATCTGCTCAAGTTTGAAATGAGCAGCATATCCTTCATTTGTATTGTTTCTTCTGTGTGTCTCGTTCTTTACTGAAGACATCTCGGGAACTTGTATTAGAAGGATCAAGTGAGATTGTTGGGTGGGCAAGAATGAAGATGAAGGAGAAGAGTTCAGCTCATTTCTTCATACATTACTGAATGCAATGCCTCCACCCCTTATTCACAATTTCCCTTTCTTCAGTTACCTATGGCCAATTGCAGCGTGAAAATAGTAAAAAGAGAACACTGTGGGTCATTCTGAGTAGTACGATGAAACCTGTCCCACCGGGAATGTGAACCACCCTTTCTCCAGTGTGTCCACGAGGTACACATGCTTCGCCATCAGTCACTTGTAACCCTCTCAGTGATCAGACTGATGGTCTCAACACCCAGGGTGTCACAGGCCTTGTGTTCAAGTGACACTGAGTTTACTGAATAATGGCCCCAAAGCACATAGAGCGGTGGTGCTGACAGTCCAGATATGCACAAAGCGAGGCTGAAAATGCTCCCTTGGAGGGAGAAGGTGAGCACAGTACAATAAGGTCATTTTACAGAGAGATCACAGTCACATAACTTTCATTACAGTATATTGTTACTCTTGTCCTACTTGATTATTATTTATTGTTGTTCATTTCTTACTGTGTCTCATTTATAAATTAAACAATCATAGGTATGTATGTATAGAGAAACAATGGTATATATAGGGTTCGGTACTATCCACGGTTTCACCCAGCCTCTGGGGGCCTTGGAACGCATGTCCCTCAGATAAGGGGGACTACTTTAATTAAAATTTTGAAATATTTTAAAAAGAGCTTATATGACATTGTTCCCTCTATGTTATCTTATAGATCTGAAGCCAATGACTTAGCTTTACGCCTAGCTCGGCAGTTTCGGGGCCACCAAGATGTGATCACTCTCGACCAGTAAGTCTTGGACACAAGATTTCTAAGCAAGAAGCTCCTTCAGAGACAGAATCGTTTCGCCCCTCTCCATCCTAACACCATAAGCACACGTTGGGGGGTGGATACACAGCACAGTGGCTTTGCTTGTATTATGGTATCAAGGCCAGTTCAGGCCTGCAGGATACTTCATTCCTTCCGAGTATCTGCAAACAGAGGAGGCTCTGTTGGGTGCTGTGGTTATGGCCTCTTGGGCTTTGCATGAATCAAGGCTTACTTTTCACGTATTAACTATTTATTGAGCCACTACATGTGTAACACAATCTTTTTCAAAATAAAGATACAATTTGTTTCTTAATCCAAGTATTATGCACTGTACGTAATTTAAAAGATAACAATGTAGAGCACGTTTATTTTATTTTTTAATCCTCACCAAAGGATGTTTTTCCATTGATTTTTAGATAGAGTGGGAAGGGGGGTGGGGGGAGAGAAACATTGATATGAAAAAACACATCAATTGGTTGCCTCCTGAATGACCCCGACCAGGGTTGGGGACCGAACCTGCAATTCAGGTACGTGCCCTTGACCAGGAATTGAACCCGAGACTCTTCAGTCCTTGGGTCAATACTCTAACCGCTGAGTCAAATGTGCCAAGGCTAGAGCTCATTTGAAAGAAAACAAGAAGCCAAGTAAAAGTTAGTTTATGACTATCAATAGACACTATTTAATTTTACCTCTCAGACATTTATTACATTTTAAACAAGAAATCTAACAACTTCAGTCTTTACTAAGGAAATTTTTTCCTTTTAATTTTTTCTACCTCTGCACCCCCTAATCCCAGACAACAGGTTGAGTTGAGCATGGACCCTATTTCCCGTCCTCTACAGGATTCTCTCACTTTATGTGTTGGTTGGTGTATTAGTTTTCTGTGTTGCTGTAACAAACTACTACTAACTTAGTGACTTAAGCAATGCAGATTTATTCTCTTACAGTTCTGTATGACAGAAGTCCATAATGGTTCTCACTGGGCTAGAGTCAAGGTGTCAGCAGGGCTGAGTTCCTCTGGAGGCTTTAAGGGAGCATCTGTTCTAGCTTTGTCCAGCTTCTGGAGGCCACCTGCCCATGTCCCTTCCTTCGTCTTCAGAACCAGCCTTTATGTTACTCCAGACTCTGCTTCCGTCCTCACATCACCTCCCATGTCTCTGATCACCGTCCTCCTAGCGCCTTTCACTTATAAAGACTTGTGATTGCATTAGACCCTCCAGGATTGTCTCTCCATCCTATGATCCTTAATTCAACCACACCTGCAAATCCCCCTCTGCCGTGTAACATGTTCTTAGATTCGGGGGTTTAGGACATGGGCATCTTGGGGATGGAGTGACCACCACAGTCGAGTTTTTGGTTCTCTTTTATCCCTGTTCTTCCCCACTTACAGACAACTATTCTAATGTGTCTAATGTATATCTTTTATTTTTGTAAATTCTATGTTTATGTGCATCTGTTTTAATTTTGCAGACATTGCTATAGGTCTCTTTCTGTTTCTGACGTTTTCCGTCAGCACTGTTTCAAGATTCTGTTGGTGGATGTATAGCTATTCTTCTAATTCTGTGCTATCCGATAGATATGTCATTTGAGGCACATAGGGAATTTACAATTTTCTAGTTACCATTATATGAAAAATATTGTTTCAACATGTAATCATTATAAAAGATATTAAGCATTCTCTCTCTGTGTGTGTCTCTCTCTGTGTGTCTTTCTCTCTCATCTTTAAAATAGCACATGTCAGTTCAGACCAGCTGCACTTAAAGTGTCCAATAGCTACAGGAGTGGTGGCATCCATAGGGGACAGTGCACTGAGAACTACCACATGACCCCCCCCCCCCCCCGGCGATGGATACTGTGACTGCTCTGTACCCCCAGCCACCACAAACAGCACTGCCATGAGCATCCTTGCGCATGTGCCCTTACAGACCTTGCCAAGAGTATCTTAGGGATAAACACCCAGAAACAGCACTGCTCAGCCACGGGGACACTATAACTTTGCTAATGTACTACATTCCGCCAGATTCACCTCCAAAGTGGTTGCATGACATTTCCCATTTCTCCATATCCTCCAAAGCCTCATAGTATCCTGATTTCTAATATTTTTTAAATATTTGTCAGTCTAATGTGGGTAAAATGACACCAATTTTGTTTTAATTTGCAATTTTCTAATTATGAGTTTGAGTGTCTCTTTATATACTTATGCATTTATGAATTCTTTTCTGAAAATTACTGTTTGTATTCTTTGCCCATTTTTTAAAATTGGGATTCCACCCTTTTCTTGTTGGTTTGCAGTTTCTTATGTGTCTAGATCAGAAGATCTCAACTTTGTGTTTTAGAATTACCTGAGGATTTTTTTTTTTTTAAATACCAATACCAGATCCCATGCCAGAGCCATGAAAGAGAGTCTCTAGAGATGGATTCTAGTTAACAGTATATATTTTAAAATTTCCCAAGTGATCCTAATATACAGGCAGGATTGAGAACCACCATTTTGCGAATTAATCTCTTTTAATATGATATATTTCTAATGTGTTTTTCCTATCTATTATATGTCTTTTAACTTTGTCATTGACACTCTTCAACAGAAATATTTAATTTTGATCAAATCAGATGAAATTTTCATCTCATGGTTTGTGTTTTCTAAGTTTTGTTAATATCTCTTTCTCAACCCCCGATCACAAAGATGTTCTTTATTTTCTTCTACCTTTATAATCACTCTTCATATTGAATTCACCTAGAGTCTCCCAGGTGGCCATTGATGTATGGATGTATCTCTGAGATCATCTCTTGTTCCAGTCACCTCTGTTCTTTTTCCAGTGCCATACTGATTGTAGTACTATAGCTCTGTAGCATGGTTTAATCGGTGGTAAAGAAAGTGTTCCCTCTCTGCTTTATCTATTCATGGGCCTTTTATAATTACCTTTCCAGATCTCTCAATTATACCTCTGGGCCAGAAACAGAAAAGAGAATTATCAGAGCCACTTGTATTTTAAGTGAAAGAAAGAAACTTCATAGCCACTCGATCCCCTCTCACTCTTAGTTCTTGAAGAGATTCTGTTCCTTATCAGCTTGTATTTGCCCAATATATGCAACTGGGCATCCTTTGGAAACCATCCCAAACAGAAACACAGCCCATTATGTGATCTAAAGCTATTTTAAAATTTTACTAGAATGTAAGTATCAAATACGGTTAAAGCAGTTTTTCATGAAGCTATAGAAAATACTATTTTCACATTTAGACTAAATTAGCAAATATAATGTAAAAAAAATTAAATATTTTTCTGGCTAGAAAGAAAATTTCTATGAGGATATATATCTGTCTCTCCTTGTGTTTTATGACATGAATAAGGAGAACTGGACAAATTAAATGGCCAGGCTTGCCATAGAAAATTAGATCCCACGCTGTTAAATCTGGCAGCAATACTGAGATTCTCCCTGGATGATATGCATTACTATTCTTTATATGCTAGGAAAACATCCTTCTTTGAGCAATGTTGTTTACTGTTGTTGTTGTTGTTCTTTTCAGTGCTTACCATGGTCACCTAACATCTTTAATTGAGATCAGTCCATATAAATTTAGAAAGGGCAAAGATGTCAAGAAAGAATTTGTGCATGTGGTAAGTACTTTAAAACCCAAGGGCCAGAATGTTGGTGCTGGGAGAATGCCTACTGACAATCCAGTCCAATCCTTTATCGAAATGAAACCATGAAAAAGAAACTCAGATCAAGAGCAGTCTGTGACTTACTGAAGTTCATGATAGGATATGGCTTAAAATCCCCTGATGAGTACCACAGTGGGCAAGTTAGTATAGTGGTAGTAACAGCTGTTACTCACAACTACCAGTTTATTTTTCTTGCCCCTTGGTCTTTAATTACTTTTTCTTTTTTATTATTCTTTTTTATCCTCACCTGAGGATATTTTCCCATTTATCTTCAGATAGAGTGGGTTAGGGAAAGAGAGAGAGAGAAAGAGAAACGTCGATGTGAGAGAGACACATCAACTGGCTGCCTCCCTCACGACCTAGACCAGGGCCAGGGACAAACCACAACCGAGGTACGTGCCCGTGACTGGAATTAAACCTGAGACCTACTGGTCCTCTGGCTGACGCTCTAACCATTGAGCCAAACCGGCCAGGGCTTTAATGACTTTTTCTATCATTGATGTCAGCTTGACAGTCAAAGCTGAATTAAGCATGTATGACTTTCTTAAAATTAAATTGCTCTATGCTAAATTATTGCATAGATTTAGTAAGTAAAAATATAAATAAACCAATTAAATTGTTGAAACAGTAAAACTCATTTGGTTTAATTAAGGATCAGCAGACTTCCTCATGAGAATCAGCGCTGCCTTCTTGCAGAACTTTAAGATCTGGAAGCAGTGCTGACGCACTCGTTTTCTAAGGGATTATAACTTGCTATATAACCGGTAGAGGTTAGTTCATTTTTCAATCTAAAATAGTTAATATAGTTTCCATTCATTGAATTTTTCAAATACTGTAATTACACTGTTGATTTGATCTTGGTCCCTATGTGAATAGGGATGCAGTCCTGATTTACAAGGGCCCAGGAGCTGATCCCAGCTCCTGTTCACAATGAGATTTCCGCACTCACAGAATTCAGAGATGCGGAAAAAGAATAAAAGAACCTAGAGTCACTTAAATCCACATGGTTACCTTTCTAATATGCTCTTGTGGGCAAAGGCCAAATTTTAAAGGCTCCTTCGTCCACGAGGCAAATCATAAGAAACTCTATTATTTGATGTTTTCAGGCACCAATTCCAGATACTTACAGAGGAAAATATAGAGAAGACCATCCGGACCCAGCCAGCGCTTATGCAGATGAAGTGAAGAAAATTATTGAAGAAGCTCATAAGAATGGAAGGAAGGTTTGTATTTACAGCTTTGGAAATATTTTAACGTTTTATCAATTAGATTTAAATTATTGTGATACTTTGGAGAGATGAGAAAGGATTAGATCTCAATTCCCTTTCTGTTCTTCTCTGATTACATTTTATTTGGTTCGTATTTTCAAAAGTGCATTATTGCGGTCATGCCTTTAAGATTGTTTTTGTCTATCCTGGATATGCAATCACTGTGCCTGTTCCAAACCTGGGGACCCAACTGACCTTCCCGGTGGGATGTCCCCAAAGGGACAGGGGAGAGAGGGTTAAGGAGGGTGATGGGCCAGGGACAGATTATCCCAGTGCAGAGGGAATGGGAAGGGAAGAGGCAGAGGGGCCCTGGAGCATCGGAACCAGTGCAGACTCCAGACCCACAAGGGAGCCTTGGCGCTTCCCTTGAACTGGTTCAACTGTCCTGAAGCCACAGAGCTTGGGTAAGTCATGGCAGATAGTTCCTTCCAATGGGGCCTAGACTTCTAAGACAGAACCAGAATCCTCCAGCGAAGGAAAAGTCTTTCTGTTTCCTGAGTCTGCACCCTACTGTCTTCAGCTTAACGTTCAACCCTTGGCCACTCGAGGGTTACTTATGTGGCTTTTTTATTATTATTTTTTTCTTTATAGATTTTAGAGAGAGAGGATGGGAGAGGTAGAGAGAGATAGAAACATTGATGAGAGAGATCATGGATTGGCCGTCTCCTGCATGCCTCCCACTGGGGGTTTGGCGCACAACCTGGACATGTGCCCTGACCGGGAATTGAACCAGTGACCTTTTGGTGCATGGGTTGATGCTCAACCCACTGAGCCACGGCGGCCAGACTTATGTGGCATTTTAATGAGATTTGATACATGCTTTGCCTTTCAAAATGTTTAGGCATTGATATGGCAATAAAAAAAATTGTAGTTGAGATAAAAATGAAGCCTTTGCTTTTTCCCATTCAAATATTGTTTTGTCTTAATGACTGGAGAGTCTTTTGCATTCTCAACTGTTTTTTCTTTTTCTTCTCTGCCCATTCGATTTGCGTATCTTCCTCTGTTATACCTGTGCAGGTGGACCTCAGCTTCATACTCTTTCCTCTTCAAACGTAGCTTCACCTCTACATACACAGTGAGCACTGCTTTCAGGGCAAATATTTTATTTACGAAGATCTTTTTTTTTTTTGGCTGCTGAAAAGATTTGGATAAATTTTTGAACACATTAGCATTCAATCGTTTTTAAATTGACGCTGTCATGTTAACAAGGAGCAAATAGAACATGGATGCTTCAGAATATTAGATGTGCTTACAAAGTCACAGAATTGTAGAGAGGAAATCTCCTCAGTCTAATGATCTCATTTCACAGCTAACAGATGGAGTATTTTAGAGTAAGTACATAAGCCAAGGTAATACAGTTACTAAGAGGCAGGCTGGACTCGAATCTTGGTTCTCTTGACTTCATATCTCAAAACTTCTATGCTTTCTCTTCTTAGTTCAGTGTTATCTATTTTCTACTCTTTTCTTGGCCTCTAGAACACTTTCTCCATAGTTCCTACTGTGAATTACCTAATTCTGTTGAGTTAAGCCTGGTTCAGGGCAAGAACTAGAAATATAGCACAGTAACCTGTGTGGGACCTCACGTTAGCCTCCCATTTCATTAATGCCAATCCCAGGCCCAGGCAGTCCTCGCTCACCCAGCTGAGGATTAGGCACCATACTCATGGATTTAGAACCTGGGTAATTTTTTAGAGATTCATAATAAGTCTGATCTACACATCAGTCTTATTCGATTGATTCTAGTGAAAACACTGCATTTAAATTAATTATAAAGAACTGGAAAGCATCCTCTTCTTCATTTCTCATGGTAGTTTCAGCGATACCCTAGAGTTTCAGGAACGAATGCTTCAGACCACTTGTTTTTTCATCATAGCTATCTTTTCTCTTTAATTAAATGGCCTATTTGCCGCTGGCCACAGGTCTGTTCCCAGCCATTTTCTTTAAAAACCTGCTCTATAAGAAGTCTTCTTTCTCAGGTGGTGTGAGGGAACCTAATGGACTCTGACTCCATCTTCTCTTGTGCAGATTGCTGCCTTTATTGCTGAATCCATGCAGAGTTGTGGCGGACAAATAATTCCTCCAGCAGGCTACTTCCAGAAAGTGGCAGAGTATGTACTTGATGTGGGCACCCGTGGCCAACTGAGGGCAATTCTGTAGGGCCACACTGGTTGTTAAAATATAGAAGTACTTTTGAACTAGCTGGCAAGTAGCCACTTCAGAGTGCCTGCCACCCCAGGACTCCCGGAATTCCTTCAACTTCCTTCACCTTCCCAAGATCCAGCAAATGAAGAGCTTACACCTGGTCCAGCCAGGGGGCCTCCAGGACCTGCCCCAGCCCCTCACCTGACGTCCTTTCTGATTGGCTAGTGCCTAAGCCTTACCAGTTGGTAAAAATTTGAAGAGGAATCCTGCTAACCACGACTTTTTGTTCACTTCTTTCTCTTCCCACTTAAAATACCGCCATAGAGCTTACTTTAACACAAACCCATAGAACAGGTCTATCCCGGAAATGAATAGATCTATCCTGGAAATGATGTGATTATATTTCTATATCAACGACAATGTAGATATCATTGGGGGTTTTGAGCACTGAAATGTTTTAACCAAGATTCCAGGCTTTGGTTAACATTTTTTTTTAAGTCCTCAATAATCTATATCTCTGTATGTGGGTGCAGGGACTTTCAGCCACCTGAAGGCATTAGATGTTCTTTTGCTTTTCAGATACGTCCGTGGAGCAGGGGGCGTGTTTATCGCTGATGAAGTCCAGGTCGGCTTTGGGCGAGTTGGGAAACATTTCTGGAGCTTCCAAATGCACGGCAAAGACTTTGTCCCGGACATTGTCACAATGGGGAAACCAATGGGCAATGGCCACCCGGTGGCATGCGTGGTGACAACCAAAGAAATTGCCGAAGCCTTCAGCAGCTCTGGGATGGAGTATTTCAATACGGTATCTCTTGGTCTCTGACTTTAATTCTAAGAGGGTAAAATAATGCCTATTCTTACACTTCTTGCCTATATAGTAAAGATTAAAGGTCAGGCCTTGGCCAGTTTGGCTCAGCGGTTAGAGCGTCGGCCTGCGGTCTGGAGAGACCCGGGTTCGGTTCCCGCTAAGGGCACGTACTTCGGTTGCAGTTTTTCCCCGGCCCTGGTTGGTCGTGCGGGTGGCAGCCACTCGATGTGTCCCTTCACGTCAATGTTTCTCTCTCTCTCTCCCTTCCTCTCTCTCACTCCCACTCTGTACAAAAAATGGAAAAATATCCTCGGGTGAGGATAAAAAAAAAAAAAAAGATTAAAGGTCAGTATTGCAAGCTAACTACCCCAGAATCCTAGCTAAACGTTGATCTAACCATGTTTCATTTTGTCTGACATAATTCTTGTATTTTTCCTTCTGTATCTTTCCCCTCCTCAAATGTTCTTATTAATTATTCCACTAATAGATGGCTGCCTTGCTAAACTCAAGAGGTTATGATATTTCATTAACAGATGATATTATTTCTTTGTTTTGTATCATATTTAAACTTCCAAAACATCTCTGTTTAGATGATTGAGTACTATAAATGTTATATGGCTGTCACAGGAGATTTTAATTTTTATCTTTGGGAAATGTTATTTCCTTGGTTTACACTTGGAAAAAGTTATTATGCTTTGTACAGCATATATAATAGCATTTGTCATAAGCAAAAGTAAGATTCAAGTCTAAGGACATAAATTACTTGGAGAAAAATATCATTACCTAGCTGTTGTCACTATTCAAGGGCAGAAACTCATATCCCCCTAACTGAACCACACTCGGAAGTCCTTGGTTCCCAACACATTCTCTTTTTTGTTGTTGTTTGGATGAACCAACACATTTCCTGATAGTCCTTCATACTTCTTATGCAGCATGCAGAACATAATTTGGAATGAATTTTTCTCTAATCCTGAATGAGTAGACTCATGCTGTGTTCTAAATCTATTAAATTAATATCACAAGGGAAAATGTTACTGAAATGACATCTTCACTTGCTTACATATGAAACAAATGTATCATAGATGAAGCAATACCACTAATTTAACTATTATGTTTTCTCATTTATCTTTTTTCTTAAGTACGGAGGAAATCCAGTATCTTCTGCTATTGCTTTGGCTGTCCTGGATATAATTGAAAATGAAGACCTTCAAGGAAATGCCACAAGAGTAGGGAGTTATCTTACTGAGTTACTCAATAAACAGAAGGCTAAGCACACTTTGATAGGAGATATCAGGTGTGTTCATCATGAGGTTGTTATGTAGTTATTCATTTTTTTCCAAATGAAAATAGCTTATTTTTTATCTGATAAATTTGAAATAAATTACATAAAACTAAAGCTAGAAAACACAAGTCATTCTTAATCTAAAACCAAGATATCATCACTACTGTTAACTTGGATGTATGTCTTTTATAATTAAAAAAAAAAAAGACTGGGATAATTTCAGCAACAAAAAGATGAAAAGAAGGGACTTAAAGTAACTTTAAATTATCTATTAAAATTATTTAAAATGATATCCAGGAAAACTTGATATTTCATATATATGCATTTATCATCATTAATGTCCTGAGAAACTAAATAACCTGAAGAGGTTGTTTTTAAGCCTTTTGCTTTTACAATTTAGTGAGGGGGTGGGGTGGGAATTGGATGACAAAAACTAACTCGTTTCAAAAACCAGAAAGAGCTGTGGACACTGGATTTGTATCTCGGATTAGTTAGAATCAACTACAATTACCTTTAAAAGAAGTCACACTCGGCCTCACATTCAGTTGAAGTTTGGGGACCACGTTAAACTTTTGTGACAACGCAGTCTTTGGTAGAGTGTGCATCAAGTTTTCTTTCATCTCCCTCAGGGGCGTCGGCCTTTTTATCGGAATCGACTTAGTGAAGGACCATCAGAAAAGGACCCCCGCCACAGCCGAAGCTCAGCACGTCATCTACAAGTAAATACACGTCCACCCTGCTCGGTGTCTGGGCTCTGGGGTGCCCACCCTCGGGAAGTTTCTTTTATTTCCTCCTGTGTCTCTAAATAAGGAAAGTTTAAGACACATACAATTTATAAATGTGGGCTCCCTGCGTGCGGAATACGAAACTGCTCCGCGTTCACATTATCCTTAAAGAATCTCACTTTTGGTTCATACGCGCTCATGTGTATTTCCTCCAATCTAATCAGGATGAAGGAAAAGCGAGTGCTTCTCAGTGCCGATGGGCCGCACCGAAATGTGCTTAAAATAAAACCACCCATGTGCTTCACTGAAGAAGATGCCAAGTTTTTGGTGGACCAGCTTGATGGGATTCTAACAGGTCTGTTCAGAGATGTAGAAGGTGCCTCCTTGCCCTCCACACCCCATGCTCTCCACTTGGTAGTACCCGACTGTGCATCTTGTTACCCAGGACAGGGTGGAAATGAGTGTTAACTTTATTTTTAGAACTAGAAAAGATACCTGAAAAATAATCACTATATCATGGACTCTTAGTGAAACCAAAATTTTCTTTTTTTTTTTTTATCCTCACTCGAGGATATTTTTCCATTTTTTGTACAGATAGAGTGGGAGGGAGAGAGAGGAAGGGAGAGTGAGAAACATCGACGTGAAGGGACACATCGAGTGGCTGCCACCCGCACGACCAACCAGGGCCAGGGACAAACTGCAACCGAAGTACGTGCCCTTAGCGGGAACCGAACCCGGGTTTCTCCGGACCGCAGGCCGACGCTCTAACCGCTGAGCCAAACTGGCCAGGGCGAAACCAAAATTTTCTGTTTGCACTCACGCAGCTCCAAACCTAAGCTTCTAGTAAAGTAGCGCTGTTTTATTTTTATCATTTATTCTCTCATTTCACAAAACTGCATGTCTGCGTTGTACCATGCACCGCAATGCTGCGTGTGTAGGATTTCAACATTGTACAGTGAAAATATGGTTAATAAAAATTATAGCCTACAGGTTAACAGTCATTTGTTATATGCGAAGCATTTGATTTTGTGTATTTTACTTATTGCAATTTAATTTTTGAGGAATTTAGTTCATCTTTCATAATTATAGCCTGTCATAGGAATTTATCTTTTGTTTACCTATATTATAGAATTAGGTTAATTTATTTTTCTGTCATGAGCATAAATTGATATTAGAAAGTAAACTAGCAATATAAAACCATGTTGAAAGAGCACGTTGAATGTTAGAATTTCGTTGTTGCTTTAGTTATATTTTTTATTCTTTATTTTTAAGTTTGTTTTTATTTTATTATTATTTTTTTTAATCCACACCTGAAGATATTTTTTTCCTTTTATCTTCAGATAGAGTGGGATGGGGAGAGAGAGAAAGAGAAACATCGATGTGAAAGAGACACATCAAGTGGCTGCCTCTCGCACGACCCCGACCAGGGCCGGGGACCAAACCGCAACCAAGGTACGTGCCCCTTCACCAGAATCGAATGGACGCTTTGGTCTGTGGGCCAGCACTCCAACTACTGAGCCACACCGGCCAGGGCTATTTTTTATTCTTTTTAAAAATATTTTTTCTTTATTGATTTGAGAGAGAGAGGAAGGGAGAGGGAGAGAGAGATACAAACATCAATGAGAAAGAACATCTATCAGCTGCCTCCTGCATGCCCCCCACTGGAGATCTGCCTGCAACCTGGGCATGTGCCCTGACCAGGAATTGAACCAGCGACCTCTTGGTGCCTGGGACAATGCTCAACCACTGAGCCACACTGGCTGGGCAATTCAGTTATAATTTTAAGGTTTAACTTCTCTGCTCCCTGCTCAGTCTTTTAAAGTTAAGACGAGGCTGAGAAGCTAGGAATTAACATAGCATACCAAACAGATAATTAATGTTTGGGGCAAGTCCATCACTATTGCTTCAAAGTCAGCTCAGAGCTTAAGCATTACCAGTGACGGGCTGAAGAGTCTCTTTTGAATACAGTGACCGAGGCGCAGCTGAAACAGGCTCCAGTGCCGCTTGTAGGCGACAATGATGAAACATGACAATCAAAGCTTAAGCAGCAGTTGGCATAGTGACCCTCCCCCCCTTTTTAAAACACACTTACCTCTCTATTCTTAAGGGTATTCCTATAGATACCGAAAGGGTTTTTTCGATTTTCATGTTCTACCTTCTCCATTGTGCCTCCCGGATGTAGCTTTGGAAGAAGCCACTGGAGCCAAGACGGAGAGCGAGGCGGTCTCTGGGAACACGACAAGCAGAACAAAGGTAAGAGTCAGCTACTTCACTTTCAGGGGGAAGTGTTGAAAACTTTAGGAATTTATGAAAAAGGAATGCAAATTTTAGAAGATTATGCAGTGATCTTTAGAATAAAACCTGCCTTTGCTAGGGTTGGCTCACTGCACTTTGGAGTGCACCGTTACATTTCGAGGTGTGTGTCAGACCGCTGGAAAGGAACAAACCACAGCACCGTTCTGATAGGATCGTTCCCTTAACAACAACCAAAGACCCCCAGGCCCATAAAGAGGGCCTTCAAACTTTCTGGAGAGATGATTACACATCCTAATCGCCTTCTCCTTGGCTCTGAAGACTGCCTGACACTGCCTGACACTCTTTCCCTCAAACCACTCTTTAAAATCAACAGAAGCATTAGCCCGTGGCTCCAAAATGCCAAAGTTTGATCCTGAAGTGAATGAAAACCCAAACTTCGAATAGCCTCCGGAGCCTGGGAACCACCTGGCACGCAGTGGCCTAGTTTCTGCATTGGACGTACTTCCAGCCTTCCCGTGCTCCCCCAGAGCTGCCCAGAGTGTGAGAAAGATCTCCTCGAGTCGGGAAACAGCAAGGCAAACACTTGAGAGGCTTTGTTGCATTATTTGTTTATGGCTTTGACGCCCAAAGGAACAATCAGTGCCCTGAGCCTGCCCGCATGCCCAGTGCAGTCAGCAAAGTCCTTTCCCTCAATGAAAAACATCGGGCAGTTTGAGTGAGAGCAAATGATTTGCCAACAGGATTGCTTGTCTCTTGCACAGCACAAACCAACTCTAGAAATCAGTGACTACCTGATGTTGCAGAGTAGCCTGCCTGTGTAGGACAGAATCACAGGTGTAAGAACTGAGCAAGCAGTGAAAGAGAGCTTCCATAAAAGGGATTCACCATGGGAAATCCTGCTTTGGAGTTAGCAAAGTTAATACATTTCGAAATGTTGGCTTGGAGTCCCAGATTTTATGTGGACATCACATTTCCAATATTTATGGAAGATGCTTATCAGGGTTAGGGAGGAGCAGCCAGAGGTGTGCTGTGCTGTGTTCTTTCGTGTGTTCTGTTTGTCTGTTGGCCTGGGGATCGGCCCTGAGGAGGTTGGGCGGGTTGGAGGTGCAGTCCCTGGAGTCTGCATGCCTGTCTTGCAGGTGCCTAAGGACGCCCACTCGGAATCGCTCGGTGAGGGTACCCAGGACCAGAAAGAAAATCCCAGCCAAAAGAGAAATGGATTGTGCACAGATAAACATTCCCTGCTCAGTAAGAGGCTCAAGACATGAAAGACTGGTGTTTTAAAGCAAGATCAATGTCCTGAGTTACAGAGAATGAATACAAGTGTCTTCTTAACAGCTCTCTGTACTCTCTAAAGGTAGAATTTGCATTCCATGTAGATTGGTCAATACAAAAGGTAAATAAGTAGTAACAATCAACTGAGTGATGATCATGCCAAGATTATTAGTTCAGCCTCTAGCCTGTTAATTCCTTACTTGAACTTTCTGAATGCACTTAATTTATCCTTCTAAATGTAAGCTTTAAGTTGAATATTATGTTGGCAGTTTTACTGTTTTAATGTTTGAAATGAGAGAGCAAAGTACAATAGATTCCTTAACTTTGGAGACTTAGTGCCTTAAAATATGAATTCTATAATGATTCTTTTTGTATATACTTATGGACTATAATAAAAATAAAAGACTATGCAAACCAAATATTTTTCACCAGCAAAGCGTTTATTTTTCTTTTGCAGAGAATATTAAGAGTTGGGGGGTAAAATCAGTCATTTGGGGGGAAAAAGTCACATACAGCAAATGTTGAAAAGTGAATGAATAATCCAGGCCTCCAGCGGGGAACCGGCACACGGTTAATCATGACTCTGTGGGGACTTGGGGTCAGGGAACAAGGGCACACCAGAAGCACCCGAAAGAGGTAGCAGGAGCCAAAGCCCTGGGTTCACCGTCAGGGGACTGAGCTCTGTCTACTCCGATTGTGCCACTCTGGCAGGTCACTTACCTGTCAGGTAAGAAATTAACTTTGCTGCCCTGGCCGGTTTGGCTCAGTGGTTAGAGCGTCAGCCTGCGGTCCAGAGAGACCCGGGTTCGGTTCCCGCTAAGGGCATGTACCTTGGCTGCAGTTTGTCCCCGGCCCTGGTTGGGTCGTGTGGTTGGCGGCCACTCGATGTGTCCCTTTCACATCGATGTTTCTCTCTCTCTTCCTCTCTCTCCTTCCCGCTCTGAGTAAAAAACGGAAAAAATGTCCTCAGGTGAGGATAAAAAAAAAAAAAGAAAGAAATTAACTTTGCACAAAATATCTTCCTTTTCTCTCAAGTTTGTCATGCACATCCCTCTCCCACGCGCACATCTCTAACCAGACGAGAAAACATGGGACCTCAGGAGACTCCAGTACACACTGGGTCCATGAGACATCCGCTCGGGGGGCAGGGTACTGAACGAGAAGGCATTTAGTACAGGCTTCCCAGGGTCTCTCCATGGCCTTCCTACTAGGTATTAAACTTTGTGTTCTTTGTTGCCTAAAAAAGAGGTAATCATTTTGTTATGGCAAATTCATAACAACTGAAAAGGATATTAGGAGGAAAATGAATTGTAAAAAGCTTCCTTTCTGAGTTCATCATAAAATAAATGCTATGAAAAGGCAAGGCCTTATTATTAATATTTTTTACTCCTGAAAGTATAACTGATTCTGGACCCTGGGCTGGATAATGCTGAGGTTGGCAAAGCTGGCAAAGAGGGAAGGGAACGGGAGGCTCTGTGCTTTGCCTCCAGTAAACAAGGTAATGACAAGCTAGCTTGTGAGCGCCCCCTGTTGTCTCCTCCTCCAGGAGCTGATAGAGACGCGGAAGGGAGGAAGGAGAAAGCCCATACCTGTGCCTGTTTTCCAAGTACAAAACAATAGAAAGCTAAGACTTTATTCTTCAATACACTCCACTCTTCTTCATTATCTAAAAATTAGTTTTTTATTATAAGGAAGAGAGATACAGAAATAAGTGACTCCTTTCTAAATGCACCTGTGTGTGATGTCCTGGTAGCCGCCTCATTTCTGGGGCCTCAAAAAAGGTTGTGTCCCTTTGGGTCCAATGGACTCCAGAGAGTCCCAAGGTGGATCTAACACCAAGATAGAATTGCAGGAGATGGATAGGGGTAAGTCCTGTAAAAGCTAAAGGAGGAAGGAAACAGGAGTTGTCAGGAGAGACTCAGGTCTGACACCTACGGAAGAAGAACAGGAAAAGGATTGAGCAGGAGTCTCAGGTGGGGAGGATGGAGCAGGAGGAGTCTCAGGTGGGGAGGATTGAGCAGGAGTCTCAGGTGGGGAGGATTGAGCAGGAGGAGTCTCAGGTGGGGAGGATTGAGCAGGAGTCTCAGGTGGGGAGGATTGAGCAGGAGGAGTCTCAGGTGGGGAGGATTGAGCAGGAGGAGTCTCAGGTGGGGAGGATTGAGCAGGAGTCTCAGGTGGGGAGGATTGAGCAGGAGGAGTCTCAGGTGGGGAGGATGGAGCAGGAGTCTCAGGTGGGGAGGAATGAGCAGGAGGAGTCTCGGGTGGGGAGGATGGAGCAGGAGGAGTCTCAGGTGGGGACAAATGAGCAGGAGGAGTCTCAGGTGGGGAGGATTGAGTAGTTTTCAAAATGTTCAGACAATCCAGATCTTTTCAGACCAAATTATGACAGAGGGCAGAGAGTAAACATAGCTCTGGAGCAAAAGTGTAAAGAATATTGTTGTCTGTTCCATGAGAATATACACCATTTCTGACTTTCTTTTCTGACAAGGTTAAAAAGAAGCATATTTCCCAAATTAATGACTATATATCATGAGGCCTTATTAATCTGCTTTAGCAACACCACCAAGTCTAGTACTTCAACAGCTTGGTTGAGCCTGCAACAGTGTACAGTCATTTTCCAAGTGTCATCTAGTTTCTGTAGAAGCCAAGTCAGCTAATTAAGAGGAGAGATGATGGCCCTGACCAGTTTGGCTCAGCGGTTAGAGCATCGGCCTGCAGTCCGGAGAGACCCGGGTTCGGTTCCCGCTAAGGGCATGTACCTCGGTTGCAGTTTGTCCCCGGCCCTGGTTGGTCATGCGGGTGGCGGCCACTCGATGTGTCCCTTTCACGTCGATGTTTCTCTCTCTCTCTTCCTCTCTCTCCCTCCCACTCTATCTGTGCAAAAAATGGGAAAAGTGTCCTCGGGTGAGGATAAAAAAAAAAAGAGGAGAGATGATGGAAACAGCCACGCCCGCATCTTTTACATTTTTAAGAGTGCCACTAATATCCACTGTCAATGCCCAAATTGTGATATTGCCTCTGATGCATCATTTTAGTTGGAGAGGGTGAGGGCAGGTGTGTGGAAGGACAGTGTCAGATGCTTCCATCTGGCCTTCTCCTCGGTGATAGCTCTTACTCCACAGGCGAAAATCCCATGTGGGGGTTACTCCGTAAGTATTTATCAAGTGTATCCATCCCAGTCATAGGTTTGGGAACTAGAGTAACACCCACAGGTGGACTTTACAAGTGCACTTTTGAAGAGTGGTGATTTTCCTGCCTACATCCTTCTAACAAGGCTTGGCACTCACCTGATACATGGGAAGACTTGTTTGGGGGCAGTGTAAGTCAGCAGATACAGAGACTTCATGCTGAGCTCTTTGTGAAGAGGAGGTAGAGGGGTATTTCTCAAGGAGAGCAAGAAAAAAAAAAGCTCTTTCCAAAATAAAAGGTCAAGCTGAAATAGAAGGGAGGAAAATTCAAGATCTTCACCTGATTGTTCTGAAATAAGGAATCAACGCCTTGATGGGTCTACATTTTGTTAGTTTTTTTTCAGAGTTATTTTATATATTTTGGTGCCAAGATAAATAGCATCTTTAAATTTTTTTCATTTTCCAACTGTTCTTGTTTAAAAATTTAGTTGATTTTTGCACACTGACTTTGATTTCAACAAACGCACTAAACACTTGTAAATTTACCAAAAAAAAAAAAATCCGTCAATCCTTTTGGATTTGTATGTATATAATCAAATCATCTGAGAATAATGACAGTTTTATTTATTCCTTTGTCATCCTTATATCTTTATTTTTTCTTTTCTCTTTACTCCATTGCTTAGGGATTTTAATATGATCATCTAACACTGGTGACAGCAGAAACCCTTGTCTTGCCGGTCTCAACGAGAAAGCATTCAGCATTTTAACACTAAGCATGATATTTGCTCTAGATTGTGTGTGTGTGTGTGTGTGAATATGTAATAAAATTAAAGACAATCCCTTCAATTGCTGCTTTGTTACAAGTATTTATCATGAATGATGGTTTTTATCAAAGAATATTTCTAACTATTTAAATGATTACAGGATTTTCTCCTTTATTCGGTCATGTGGTGATTATAATGATTTCTTCCTTTCTTCTTTTTTAAGCACAGGACCCCATTCTTATTAACTGCCCATCAGTTTCCAATCCTCTCTTTAAGGAATTGCTTTTTTTAAAATTAATTAATTAATATTTTTATCCTCACTCGAGGACATTTTTTGATATTTTGTTCAGATAGAGTGGGAGGGAGAAAGAGAGAGAGAAACATCGATGTGAAAGGGACACATCGAGTGGTCGCCACCCACACGACCCAATCAGGGCCGGGGACAAACTGCAACCGAGGTACGTGCCCTTAGGGGGAACCGAACCCGGGTCTCTCTGGACCGCAGGCCGACGCTCTAACCGCTGAGCCAAATCGGCCAGGGCTAAGGAATTCCTTTTATTATGTATTCTCTTAAAGCCACTTTTCATCATCACTTGGATTTTATTGGCAATTTCCTTCACATCGGTAGACACTTTATATTTTGTTATAGCGCTTTTTATTGTATTTTAATCTTATCTATATATTTTATCCCCAAGTTTTTATTTTGAAAAAATTTAAACCTGCAGGAAAGCCTCACATAGCAGTGCAAATTCCATGTATCTTTACCTGGATTAACCAACTGTTACTATTCTGCCCCATTTACTTTCCTATCTATGTACCTATACACATACTTTTGGTTTTGTCTAAGCCATTTGAGTCATTTGAGATTTAGTTGCTGACATCAAAAGACAATTCAACCCTGGCTGGTTTAGCTCAGCCTGCGGACCAAAGAGTCCTGGGTTCGATTCTGGCCAAGGGTATGTACCTCGGTTGTGATTCATTCCCGGCCCTGGTTGGGGTCGTGCAAGAGGCAACCAGTTGATGTGTCTCTCTCACATCGATGTTTCTCTCTCTCTCTCTTTCTCTCTCTCTCCCACTCTGTCTGCAGATAAATGTAAAAAT